TATCTATGACCTGGATTTTGTGTACTACTAACTAAATATCCTATTCTAACCCAATATATTCTCATATTTGGAACACCTCTAGCACCTATACTACTACTAGATTGAATGAGATTTCCTTATATAGAGTAAAGTTGGCAGGCAACTTGGGATACGTTTAAAACAGACAAGACATGGCAAGGTCATACCTAACTGGAAGTGCTTGCCTAGTTACTAGGTTACTAGAGCCACATTAGTTGTACATTCTTTGGCTACTTCAGTAATATGACTAGGGAAGATCCTAGGATAAGACCTGGAAAAAGAAACAAGTACAAAACAGAACACAGAAACACCAACTTTAAAATACCAATATATAATACTAAAAGTAGTACAATATGTACTTTGAAAAACTCAGTTGGAAGTTTTGATGCCCATAACCTGTAAAACCTACTAATTAGGTGAGTATCTGCTATCAAGTTCTGCATGCATACCATTAATACTATATGTAATAAGGAAAGTTGTGCTTGAAATACAAACTGGGTTATGTCAGTATTACAAATAATGGCTTGAGATATGAACTCAGTAACAGCAAACAACATGTACTATACCAATCTAAAAGTAGCCATAAGGTTACGCTTGTCTGGTGCCCTCTAGTGGTATCTGTAACAGATACTGCACTGGAACTATATTGGAAGTGTAAGGTTGTTAGTATAAGAAATATGAGAATATATTGGGTTAGAATAGGATATTTAGTTAGTAGTACACAAAATCCAGGTAATATATAAGTGGGACATGGACGGCTCTAGTAGGTATAAATCATAGATAATTAGTCTAAGCTACTGTTCTATTAATTTTAGTATAATATATGTTACGTACATATATACTTAATAAATAACATAAGGCAAGATCTTACCTTAAAAAAAAAAAAAAATGTACATAGTTTGTAGAACAAGTTTATGGCTTAGATATTTTATTATTATATAAATTAAGAACTGTTGTTTTCAAAGGGCCAGAATGCCTTTATTTATAATTGTAAATTCATCTATTTATATATACATAATCAATTAGGTCTTTAATATCATTACAATTAGTCTTAGAGCTGGTATTATTAATAATAACAAATTTTTATGATAAAAATTTTTATTTCATTGAATTTTGTAATACAATATTTTCTAAAATAAAACACACACAACTTTGTTCATCTTGTTGAATTATGAAACCAAAAACTGCATTTCAAAATAATAATAAATTATGTTTTTAAAGTGTACAATTTGTGTAAATGAAAGCAAAAAAACAAGAATGTGAGGATCAAATTTTAAATGATATTTGCAAGCAAAAAGTAAATACTATAAAATTAGAAGTACTTGAATATAGGACCCAGATATTTTCAATATATAAATTTTATAGTAATTTGCTAAAAATTAAATTATATATATTTGTGTGCTAAACAAGTTTATCTAGAGTGTAAAGTTAGAATTAATTAGTAAAATTTTGAGAATCATAGCATTTTTGGTATTTTTATTAATAAAATTATATAAAATATCAAAATACTCAAATTTTACTAATTGATTATAACTTTATGCTCTAACAAACCTTGTTCAGCACATAAAAATACACTATAATAGCATATTTAAGTTTATATTTCTTGAAAATTTAAGAAAAGATGCATAATTTTTGATCAAAAAATTTAAAATTAAGCATCTTCTCTTGAATTTTGAAAAACTACAGTGGTTTAAAAAATAAAGTAGCTTATTTTTGAGTATAATTTTTTCCAAAATGTAGGTAATTCGCTGAAAATAATATATAATATATCTAAATTTGATGTAATTTGCCAAAATAGTTAATTATGATCTATTTTAAAATTTCTGTCAATTTGCCAAAACTCAACTTTGGACCAAATTTTTGGCAATTCGCTGAAAAAAAAATATGACATATATCAGAGATGTCCGGGGTTCTAGTTTAATAAAAAAAAGATAACTTACAAAAAAAATTAAAAAAAAAAAACTTAAAAAAAAAAAAAAAAAAAAAAAAAGCTTCTTTTCTATTTTTCTTCTATATCGATTTTTCTTCGCATCAATTTTTCTTCGGCATCGATTTTTCTTCAGTATTGATTTTTCTTTGGCATCAGTTTTTGATTTGCTGTCCCATCCAAAAATTATTTAAGCAAGTATCTAATATTTTCCTTTCAGAAAATATAAATTCTAAAAATTATATTGTGTGATATCATATATATATTATTATAAATGTGTATTTTTCCTAGCACTTAAAGGTATCTTGTATAAACAAAAAGAAATAAAAGACCAGGTTAGTAGAGTGAAAGGTAATGTTAACAAAGGTCTTACATGAAGCACATAGTATTATCGGGGAGAGATCAATTGCATCAATTTGGTGTGATTTTATTAGTGTGTAATAATAAAATAATTAATACAAAATTAATTAATATTATTATTAATGACAAAGTCAAATATAGTATAAATAAATTTAATAGATGAATGATATAAATAATATAATTGAATGTAATATAAAGAGTAAAGCTAAAGAAAGTAAATAAAAAAAATTAGTCTTTCACTTATAGATAAAATTGTAAATAATAATTGCACAGCTAACGAAAGCACTATGGTGAAGGTGTTGTATTAAACTATACTTGTAGTAACAACCTGCTACTACTCAACTCCATGACAATAAATAAACTTTAAATTAATTATGTTTCCTGTGATTACAATTGTAAAACATATTAATAACTAATGAATAAGCACCCTTATTAATTAAAAAAATAGTGCTTATTTTCCAAGTTTACAATATATATTATACAACCATATACAAAAATACTGTATGAATATATACTATATATATATATATTTCAATAATGAGTTTCAAACTAGGCAAGTGTAATTAATAGTTACGTGCATAATAGGTTTAAAATAGAGTGAATTTAGTCATGAGGTTAAATGATTATGTGTTAAAAGAATTAGGTAAACGTCTTGAGATTTAGTTTATATGAATTTGAAATAATCATAATACAGTATACAGTCAATTTTAGGCAGTCTTCTGTTTAATATAAGAAAACTAATTATTATTGAAAAGTGGATCATAATTACCAAGAAATTTATCAGTGCACTTAAACGATCAACTTATTTAAAAAATTTAAAATTGAAAAAAGATAATTTTAGAATTGAAAATTTAAAAAGTAAAAAAAAAAATTTAAAAATAAAAAAAGAAAAATTGAACCTTCAGATTGATTGAATAAATAAACTAACAGTTATTTAAAACTATTACTCTTGTAGTGGAAACATATCAAAATGAACTCTATTGTGTTTCAAAAATAAAACCTTATTCACTAAATCTGGTGACAACTGAGTTTGTTTTGCTGAAATATGGTTACCAGTATTAAAAAATAATCTTTCACTTGGCACAGAAGTCGCCAGAATAGAAAGATATTTGCGAGCTAATTGGGATAAAACAGGCAAGCTACTTCTATTTTTTAACCACTATTCTAAGGGATTATCATTAATTTTGATTTCTTTTAACTTTACATAGTGTATTACTTTATCATCGTCTCCTACATCAACTTGTGTTAAGTTTGATTCTAATTCATAAAAAAAATCACCATCATCATCATTATAATTACTATCTACCAAATTATCATCTGGAATAGTAAGGTTTATTTTTAATTCATTATACAGGGTCTTTACCAAATTCTGTACTCTATTTCTTTGAAAACTTGTTGCCCAATTGAAATGTTTGAACCTTGGATCAAGAAATGTAGCAACTAAAGCAATATTTATTGGAACTTCTCATAATTCATCTAATGAAAGATAAATAGCAGCTCTAAGTTTACAAAGTAAGCCATCAGTAGTAATAGAGGGCAAATATTCTACCTGGTCAGTATCTTCTAACTCAACATTAGCAGAACATCTTTGTATTCTTATATTTTAACTTTGACTTTGGCCACAAGAGGCCATTTTTTGGCTAAACTGTCTGTGTATATATTGCTATTGTCTATGAGTACTAGCAGTAGGAATATTATCATCTGATTCATCACTTTCATTCTCTTTATTTTCAACTTTTCTATAAATCAATTTCAGATAGGTTTCAACCGTTTCATTTGTCTTTGGAGCAAACCTTTTTTTGAGTAATTCCATATATGGATAAACAAGGTTAATAGTTGGATATTTAGCACTACATAAGCATCGAGTTACTCTTTCAATTAGTCCTAATAAATCTACTGCATTCTTTAAAAATCTATAAAAAAAAAATTTGAATTTTAAAGAGGAGACTAGTCTGTATTATAATATTAATACTAATAACTAATACTACAAAACTAATAAATTTATAATTACTCTTTTTTATTAACTAATAAGCATAATTTTTCTAGTTTTTCACCTTCTTTTTGCAAAGCACGATCTAGTTTAGAAAGTAACAAAGATGAAACAAATCTCATTACATTATGCAACTCCAAGACACATTTCCATGCTAAATAGGTGGAGTTCCACCTTGTTTTTATATTAGTTATAATATCAAGTGAACTTTCAAAAGTATTTTAACTCTTATCATGTTCACTAAATTTATATTGTGCTTCACACAAATGTTGTACCTATTTAGGGAGTTGAAAAAAGTTTGTAAACTTTTAACATGATGATGGATAGCTTTATATTGTTTTAGTCCTTGCTTTACTGATAACTGCAATATATGTGCAGCACAAGGCTGACGCTCCACATTATTAATGATTTCATTTAACAACCTTATTCCTTTAACCATATTAGCCTTATTATCCGTGGCTACAGTAAAGATTGTTGAATCAAAATGCCATTCACAAATTAATTGAATTAATTCTTCACAAATTACTTCTCCAGAATGTGGGTATGCAAGGTAATCACAAGAAATTAGAGCCTCTTTGAATTTAAAATCAGAAGATAACCAAGTTGCAGTAACATCTAAATAGCCATGATGAGATTTTGCTGTCTACAAATCAGTAGACAAATGAATAGCTGTTGCATTACTACTAATTAGAGACTTTAATTAATCATTGCTCCAATTATATACTTCATGAATTAATCCTTTAGCTGTTTTATCACATGGCACTCAGAATCTAGGTTTACAGGTATAAATAAACTCATAAAAAGATTGATCTTGCAAAATATAAAGAGGTTGAACAAACCGAATAATAAATTGGATTAATTTTCTTGCAATTAGTTGTTGTCTTTGTGGCGAACATGGTGATGCCATATTATTGTAATAGTCAGTAACTTTGGATTGATCACATTTTGGCTAAAAATAATCTAAAGTTAATTATCTTAATAATAAACTTAAAAATTTTACCATGTTGAATAGTAAAATTGAATACTACTTAAACTGCTATTCAAACTATCATTCAACACAATTACATAATTTCATAACATATATGTCTATAAGTTCATATGATAATGTTAAATAGCAGTTTGAATAACAGTTTAAGTAATATTTAAATTATGCTATTTAATATAAAATTTCAAAATATTGTATATACTTCATTGTGTTCATCTAAGTGATCAGTATAGCTATCTTTAGTTATATTGTGCTTGTCACATAAATAGGCAATCATATTCGAAGTATTACCACCTTTATAAGTATATGGATAGGGAGTTTGCCGAGAGCTAGCAAAGTTACGCACATATATTTTACAATATACAAGCTCAGCATTGTCTTTATCTATATGAAAAAAAAACTGGTATGGCTCTTATTACTACGTGTAGCTTCAGCACTAGCTTTTCTTTTCTTGCGACTTGTAGTTAACAATGTTAATGTCATTGATGGTGTAATATTAGACTCTTCGGCATCTGAAAAAGAAGATGAAGACATTCTTTTTAATTTGTTTGTCAATAAAATTAAAATTTATCACTATTGTTATTGTTATTGTTTTATATAGACTCCATTTTGTATAGAAACTTCATTTAGCACTTGTATTAATTCAATAGTGCTATTTGAATTCTTGTAATTAATCTGTTAGTATAATAAGTAGAAAGTATTTATTTTGTTATCTTACATAAAGGAAATAGCTTGATTAGGATATGAGTGAGAATTCATTCCTATTTAATTATAAATATATTTTGTTTACTCATTAATTACTTTTGCATTAGACAATGCGAAGCTCTCAATTTACAAATGCATTTATATAATCTCTATATCAATATTTCTCAAATTGATTTTAACTAGGTATAATTATTAATTTAAAAAACTTTACCAATCTAATTAATCTTGGCATAATCCAGCTATGACTGGTTTTACAATGAATTAAAGTTATGAGTTGGTTGACCAAATTCACAGTTATTAGTCAAATACTAGTTTTAAACCTAGTAATTGACTAATAAATATGAATTTTGCTAAGCAATTATATTTAAGAAAAGTTAATGAGATAATCGAGTCACGAAGCTATCATATTTCATAAATATATTTTGCAAGAATCTCTATATCAAATTTCTCATACTGATCTTATAGATATCATTATTAATTTACCAATATTATTAATCTTGGTATAATCCATCTGTAACTGGTTTTACAATGAATTAATTTATGGGTTTGGACAACCAAATTCGCATTTATTAGTCAAATACTAGTTTTAAAACTAGTAATTGACTAATAAATATGAACTTTGCCAAGCAATGACATTTAAAAAAAGTTAATGAGGTAATCGGGTCCCAGAGCTATCATATTTTATGAATATGTTTTTGCAAAAATCTCTATATCAAATTTCTCACACTAATCTCATAGACATCGTTACTAATTTATTTATATTATTAATCTTGGTATAATTCATCTTTGACTGGTTTTACAATGAATTAATTTATGGGTTTGGACAACCAAATTCGTATTTATTAGTCAAATACTAGTTTTAAAACTAGTAATTGACTAATAAATATGAATTTTGCCAAGCAATAACATTTAAAAAAGTTAATGAGATAATCGGGTCCCAAAGCTATCATATTTTATGAATATGTTTTTGCAAGAATCTCTATATCAAATTTCTCACACTGATCTTATAGATATTGTTATTAATTTACTTATATTATTAATCTTGGTATAATCCATCTTTAACTGGTTTTACAATAAATTAATTTATGGGCTTGGACAACCAAATTCACATTTATTAGTCAAATACTAGTAATTGACTAATAAATGTGAATTTTGCCAAACAATGACATTTAAAAAAGTTAATAAAGTAATAGAGCTATTGAATTCTCATATTTCATAAAGGTATTTTGTATCAATATTTTCGCTCTGATCTCAATTGGTATAATTATTAATTTAAAAAATTCCACTGATTTAATTAGTCTATCTGCAATTGGTTTTACAATAAATTGAAGTTATGAGTTGGGTTAACCAAATTCTCATTTACTAGTTAATTATTAGTTTTAAAATTGGTGGTTTACTAGTAAATGCGAATTTGGTCAACCAAACACATGATGTTAATGAGATAACCTGGTTACAAAGCTATCATATTTCACGAATATGTTTTACAACAATCTCTATATCGATATTTTTTACACTAAACTCAATTATTAATTTATTAATCTTATTAATCTTGGAATAATCTGGCTATGACTAGTTTTACAATAAATTAATTTATAGGTTTGGTCAACCAAATTTGCATTTACTAGTAAATTACTAGTTTTAAACAGGTAATTGACTAGTATATACAAATTTGGTCAACAAAACTCATAATATTTAAAAAAAAAAGTAGAGGTAATTGGGTTAGGTTATAACAAAACCAATTATTTGGATATAATAAAGCTGATTAATCAGATAAGATTCGGTTAAATAAAACCAATTAATCAGATATATTTGGTTATAATAAAACTGATTAATTGGATACAATAAAACTGATTAATCGGATAAGATTTGGTTAAATAAAACTGATTAATCAGATAAGATTTGGTTAAAAAAAAAAAAAAACTCTTTCCCGTAGATCCCAAAACACTAAGTAAACAAATAAATCGCAAAAATAATTCAAAAAACCAT